TTTTTTTTGTTATCATCGCCCTGTAGACCTGAACTTTGGTGTTACAATAACACTTCTTGTAATTAAGGGGTCTTGAATTGCATGTGTTACCTTGAGGTATCTAAATGGATTGCGCAGAGCATCATGTCAATATTTTTGGAGGAAATAGAAAACTGCTTAGTATCTGAATATATTTATTTTTGCAATGTTTTTGGCCATAGATTCTAAAGGTGCAGTGGATGCATACAGGTTTAATGTGTAACAATAATATAGAATCCGCAGAAATCACTAGCTGACAGAAGCTATGAATGTGTTTTAAGTAAAGCCTCCATTAATGAAATGAGAAATGTCAATTCATGCACTATCTTTTTAACATATTCAGAATTTTCCCTCTGAATGCTGTAAATGCTWTGTGGAGATTGTTCTTTTTCCACTGCCTGCTTTGCTCCTCTTTTTGGGTGGAAAACCCACAAATAAGTGCAGTTCTTAAAGCTCTGGAGAACACCTGTGGCAGGGCTGAGGACAATTTGTATGGGCTGGTGGTGAGTGCCAAACCAGAGCTGAAGGAGTTGTGTCTTTTTCTCCCTGTAAAGCACCTGCTGGACAATAACTACTGGATAATAATCTCAGTAAGAATTTTTTCTCTAATGGAAAATGCATTCAGGGTTGTATATGTAGCCCAGAGAGAATGTGCTGTTTCTGTTTKCAGTTTAATCTTCTCACATTAGACCTCAGTGTTTTTCTCTGCTCATTGTTGAGCAGGGAGCTGAACCCAGGAGACTTGTCTTTACATGCAAAGAAATATGAGGAGCTTGCTTTGTGTCTCTCTTAAACTTTTCACTCATTCCCTGGAAGCCCATGTCGATACGATGCGGGAATTGCATCCCTACGTATCAGTGGATAATAGTGGATATCAGTAAATGATAGTGATAACAGCTAAGACAAGTCCCCGTGACCCTTCCTAAATGATCAACTTCTGGACAGTAAGTGTTTGGGAGCAAAACTATATAAAATGAGGCAGAAACCAGATATGCTACCCTGTGTCCTTTGGGCAATCTRTTTGCTGGTGAGTTAGATGGATATGGGATGCTTCACATGTGGCAGTCCTTGTGGTGCCATGTCTTTTTTGTACAACCTAATTGAAAATACTAGATTACAGCTCAAATGAAACATTTTAATGAGGGTGTGCTTGATCACGGAGGCTGCAAGGAGTTCTGCTGGGTACCTCATCAAACAAGCAATGGAAAAAAATGCCCTTATGCTCTGGTCCTGTGCTTACATGCCTGAGTTAAACATGTCCGTAAGTGTTTGTGTGATGAGAGCTTACGTCAACAAGTTCTCCTCTGCAGTGCTTGACCTGTGTTTTTTCTTGCAGAGAGAAGTAAAAAGGAGCTTCAGTTTCCTAATGGATTTGGAAAAGAGATGCCTATCTCACCTTCTCATGTGAGCTGATCGTGATGCTAGAAATACGGAGGCAGTATTTCTGGAGCTCCAAGGAAAGATTGGGCCTTACATTTTTGCCCCCTGCATGTTATGATTTCCTGAGCTTCTCAGGGCTCATGCTGGTTCGTAGTATAGATCCCATCTACTCCATCTCCTCTTCCTCTGCTCCCCTGGTTGATCTTCTCACTTCTGAAGTTTAGMATCCTCTCCCACGATTTCACCTCAAGGAGCAGGTTCTGGAACTGCTGCATTTTCAAGTGCTTGGCTGTTGGTAGCAGCTGGCTAGGAGACAAGTTCATAAGTTAACYTCTCTCTGCCAAAAACACTGGCACCAGCTCAACATGAGTGTGTATTTTGTATTTTCYCCATGGACCAATCAGCTAAATTGCACCAGCACAAAATGGATCTTCAAAAAGAGAGGACATGAAATAATTCTCTTGGACCGCTTATAAGCAACATAGAACCTAGACCAGTATTGATTTAAACTGCTCAGCTCTTGGATTGTGATTGTAGCTATATGAGCACTTAAAAATGATAATTAAAGATTTTGAAGCAGGTTTTGAGTTCAGTGAGCCCTCCCTCTCACTTGATTAACCAGTGATTTACACATATATAATGACTTTAATTGACTWAAGGGGTAATTTATGTCACAATGTGCATGATATATGAATCTAAATAGACTAAAGAGAGGGGAAAAGGAACCATATGTTCTCTAGAAAGTTGTCTGCTGTCAGAGGGGCTCAAGAACTGCTTGAAAGATGTTTAGAAAGYCATGAGTAAATTTTGCAAATTTTCTGTGCTTTCTGGATGGCATTTTCATTGGGTGTATATTGCCCAGGAAAAGAGGTTAGGAACTCAAGTTTTTAAACTTTTACTTATCTTTATAAGTATTTCATAAGTTTTTCTAAAGCCTTTATTTTTATGAATATACATAATGGGTTTTGCTCTGATCTTCACAGTGCTCACAGAATAGGTTTTGCAGCTACAGGATGGATTTGGAGATCCCAGCATCTCAAGGTCCAAGTTCAACCATGAAAATGAGAGTGAYATTTCTTTTTGAGCAACAGGGTTTTGTTTAGGGCAGGTGTTTGAGAGCAGACTTACCTACACATCCAGTAGTGTTTGTCAGCACAATCTCCTTGTGCCCTTCTCTTACACAATGTGAACAAGTTATTGATCACAAGAAAAACACTTCAGCATAGTCTTAAATTTACACATACAAACTTAGTATGTTCTACAATAGGACGATTYGCACATGGAAATGCACATAAATGCACAGGCACTTGTGGGATCAGGGCTTAATTTTCTGCTTGAGAGGGAAAAATTATGGAACAGAGGTATGTGCAGCAATGAAAGTGCAGAGGCTGACTGCTGGTGCTCCAGAAAGTATAGCCAGCAACTGCAAAGGCAGTTGGTGTTTCTGTTGTGTTCCCCCTTTCCTTTGTTGGTTGGGTTTTGGCTTGGATGTTCTAAATAGATTTTTTAAAACATTTATTTCTTTTTAATGCTGCGGGGCTGTTGGTTTGTAAATTGAATACACCTGTAGCAAGCCCAGTATTTAACAGCATGATGGAAAATAAACTTCCGACCAAGGGCACTTAAAAAAATTCAGCCTATGCTGGACTCTTCACTGGTGGGGTCTCCTTGAAGAGCTTCTCCGTTAAGCACAGAGGCAAAACACGCTCCCCGATCTGGCGCCCGCCGGAGCAGGCGCAGCCCGCAGGGGTCAGTGCTGCCGCGGAGACAGGGACAGACAGGACGGGCAGGGACGGTCGAGGCGACGGGCAGAACAGAGRGGCGCGGGCCGGGGCAGGTATCATCGCCCACGCCCCATAGCAGAGCTAAGAGGGAGTGCAGCGAGGGCTCGTCTCCGGACCTGCAATGTCAGTGGGGTCCCGGACGATGATGCGGCGCGGTGCCGGGGCCGGTGTCGGTGCCCGCCAGGTGTTGTCCGCCGCTCTCCGCCCCGAAGCCGCCCCGGGGGAGCCCTGCCCGGTGGCCGGCAGGAGGCGGCCGGCACTGCCCGGCCGCTGGATCTCTCTTCCCTCCGTCCCTCCGCCCCCGACGGGGAGGAGGCGAGCTCTGCCGGCGCCCCCCCGCACGCCGCGRGCAGCCTGGGGACGGCAGACCCGCGCTGGGCCGGGCACTGTCACCGCCCCGCTTCGCCCGCAGGGTCCCCGGCCGGAGGTAACGCGCTGGCCGGGCGGAGACCACCCCCACGCCCCGGCTGCGGCGGCCGAGAGCGCTCCCGCGGCCCCGCTCCTGTTCACAACAAAGGGGAGACGCGGAAGCGTGCGCGGACGGGGCGGAGGACGGGGCGGCTGGGCGGCTCGGTACCTCCCCGGGGCGGCAGCGGCGGGGGAGCCGCCGTGACAGCAGGGCGCGGGTGAGGGCTGTGCCACGGGATCCTACCTAAAGGAGACGCCGGTGTTTTTGCCYCTTTCCCGCAGGGAGCGCCCGGCAGCCCCGTCCAGGCAGGTCCGCGGGATGGCGCCGGGCCGCCCCGCGGGGCTGGGCGCTGTGCCCTAGCAGCCGCCGGGCTCCATCCGCGCAGCCGAGGCGCGGAGCCGGGCGCGGCCCAGAGCCGGCTGCGCCTCAGCCCCTCTCCGCCGCCGCTCGGGGCTCTCCTCTCCTCTCCTCCCCGCCCCGTCCCCGGCCATCGCAGCAGGCATGGGCTGTTTCTGCGCGGTCCCGGAGGAATTTTACTGCGAAGTTTTGCTTCTGGACGAGTCCAAGCTGACCCTGACTACACAGCAGCAGGGCATCAAGGTAAGGACGCCGTCTGGGCTGCAGAATGCGATGCGGGAGAGCCCGCGGGGCTGCCCGGCGGCGGCTGCCTCCCGACTGCGCTGCGGTAGCCGCGAAGGGAGCGGCGGCAGGGAAAAGGGGTTTCGGTGGGAGCAGGAATAACGTCGTAACTTTGCTTACGGTCCCCCAAAGGACAGATGGGTCGGGGTGGCGCGAATCGRTCGGGCGGACGTGGCTTTTGGAGGCTTTACATCGAGATAGTGACTCAAAGCGAGCAGGTGCCGACCACCCCGTGGCACTCGGGACGCTCGGCGCTGAGGTATTGTTCTGTATCTGCTACAGAAAAAAAAAAAAAAAAAAAAAAGAAGGAGAAGGCGGCTGTGTGCGCGGGGCGTAGCGCGCCCGTGTTGAGTCACTCCCCGCTCCCTCTGCCTTGGGCCGTGCCCGCCCTGGGACGCGCTCTCCCGGGAAAAGGCCGGCGGCAGCGGCGCGGGGCGGGCGGGCAGCAGCTCCGAGCGCAGGGGTGAAGGTCCAGCCCCGTCCCCAGCCCGCTGTCCCGTCTCCCGGCCGGAACAGCTACGGTTCCGCTGCAGAGCGCTCGGCGCGGATGAACTCTTCAAAGTAGTCATCTGCCAAGCGCTAATGAGCCCTGACAGAGCATGTGAAAACCCAGATTTTTCTAAAGGCCCTTAACTTGGTCCTGTTTGGTTAAGCCTGATGACAGCTAATGACATGTCGCAGACACTTGAAGCCCTTGTTTGAAGAGCCGGGAACTTGAATTTATTTGGAACATAAAAACGCAGGAAAAAAAAAAAAGAAAACACAATGAAAGAATGAAATCGGTCCTTCTAAAATTTATTGTTGGAAAGRGCTGACCAATTTTACCCACAACATCCAAAGAATAAAAACCCGAATGCCTGTATGTTTTAGCTTGAATGATTGAAGTTTGGTGAAGCAGCTGGAGAGAAGAGAACATGAAGTAGGGCAGGGGGGAGTTTACATTTGACAATATATTTTTATCTGTAATCTGTGGTATTACCATGTCTACATGCACTGGGAGTTGCCAGGCTTTGCTGAATCAACTGCCTGCAGATAGGCTCATAACTCCATGCTTAACACAGATGAGCAAGCAAATCACTGTAATACTAGAATTCAGTACCTGTGTAGGGTCTTTGAAGTCTTAAGTTTGAACACTTCTGAAAAACGTTACTTTTCTATGTGCGGATCCGGGGATGCATGTCCTGCATGCTTATGTGCTTTTGTTGCCTGTAAATGTGCAGTGGCAGAAGAATTATGCTAAAAAAGTGATCTTCAAAGACAATCCTATGGTTGGTCTAATGAATCTAAACCCTGAAAGTGAAGGGTCTAATAAAAATCAATGTTCCATGGGAAAGAAAGAGTCTAAAGATGTAACTTCTTTCCAAGAATGCATGACTTGCAGTGTTGGGAACCGTCTAGTTTAATGTGAGGGTGTGGTTTCCTGCCATTCTTAGTGTGATCTGAATGTGGTATAATGCTGAATAYTTCATCCCTTCCACCTGCTCCTTTTTTGCCTTGAACCTAACCAGAGAGCAGTCATGGAATCAGTTGGAACAGTGTGTGGATCTGACAAGAAAAGCAGTTTGTTAACAGTTTGGCACAGCCACTCATGCTTCACAGTGGGGGCTCCTCAGGAAAGGATAATCTTCCTCTTTCTAGAAGCCTGGTTTTTATGGTGTTTTTTTTTCTTAAGTTTGTGCACCATGAAGCCACACCCCAGTGCTTTAGGTTCAAGGAGAGTTTTAAAACCCAAAGAGAGAAACTGCAGAGCTCTCWCCAGCCAGTGGTATCCAACATTGTGCTCTCCCTTGCCTTTGTACCCGCACAAGAGTTTGTGCAGCTGTGTGAAGAGTGGCCCATGTCCAGCTGAATGGTAGCCACTGGTTTGCCTTTTGCTGGGTCTCTCTTCAGCTGGACCTGTGCCCTGGTCCACTTCACAGATGGAGGATGGCAGAAATGGCTTTTTCAACTGAGCCCTGGCTTCTGTCCTTTTAAACTGCTCTGGGGACATTGGTGGTGTTTTTATTCTATGGCTTTCCATGGAAGTTATATTATTAATTCTTTGTGAAACAGAACATAAAATTTGTCATGTTCTGTCATACTTTCTCATTTGGCACTTCAATCTTGAAATATGAATGTTTTATTTTGAGTCTACACATCTAAATGCAGAGACTAGTATTTTAAATATTTTTTTWAAAATTTTTTATTTTTCTTACATTGGCGTTTTAGTTTTGGCACCTAGGTGTAATCTGTAGAAGTTCATATGTATTTTATTGTAAAACAAACATTTCCTTAGAATGCCAGGTTCTGGATGTAATCTTCTCATCTTCCTTTTTAATTTGGTTCAGAGATATACGGGGAAACAAGCTTTTGGTACTCTTTGACAAATCTTGGACTGTTACAGGAGCAGGGTTTTTAAATGGTTATACAAGCAACTTTGTTCCTTCCCCCCCCCCGACGCTGATGTATGTMTGCTAGAAATAAAAAACACAGCTCAACAGCTTTTTGTTTTCTACATACTTGCTTGATATTAGACTTAGCTTCTTTGAAGGGTGGAAGGTTGTGCTCTGTAGGAGTCAGAAGCAAGCTTGTTTCTTCCGGCATGGTTTGAAGAGGCATTGCTTGCTTTGTATGGTGGTAATTTCTGGCTTGCTATGCTTGGCAGCAGCTCTGCATATCGAAACCTGACATTTTTTTAATTACAGTTTCATTAATGCATTCTTCATATGACGATGGTCCTTGAATTGTACTTCACCTTGAAACAATGACCACAGGTCAAGACTGAGACTTTGAGGGCAATTTAGGGATAGTTTTCTCTGTGGACTTTGAAGAGCTTGTTAGGGAAAGGTAAAAATAAGCTTTCTTCTGGCGCCCAAGTGTGGAAGCTGAGATGGAAAGAGGTCAAATGACTTTTTCAAGGTTGTAGAAGGAAAAAACTTAGCTTCTCTATTAGGCTGACAGCAAGTGACCATTCTGCCATGGACCATGTTGTCTGGAGGGGTCTGTGTAGCTCCTCAAATTTTTGCTTCTCATAGTTTTTTTACTCAAATTTTTTCCCTTTTTTTTTTTTTTTTTTTTTTTTTTTTTTTTTTTTTTTTTTTTTTTTTTTTTTTTTTTTTTTTTTTTTTTTACTGTGAACAGCTCTGCCTTGCTGTTCTCCATTTATGTGTCCATAGTTTAAATTTGGAGCACTGTTCTATGAAAGTGTGGAAGCTGGCTCTCCAGCACAGCTTTACAGCGGACAGATAACAGATAATCAGGAAAGGCTAACAGATGTCTCAAAGCTTAACTTTTGTGTTTCCTTTTGGTGCATTAACAGGTAGAGATATTTTGGAGTGTACATGTTTTGAGATAATAAAGAGATGGCAGTTGTTMGTCCAAACATTTTTGGGATGGAAGAAGTTATTCACCAGGTTCAGTTTTTCTAACCAATGTATATGGTCTCAGATGTGGACAGCTTTTCCTCTTAAAAGGACATTAAATTTTCCAGTCAAAAAATGGGTTTTAGCAGACTTTTGTACAAATATGGTAACAACCAGTTGCCAACTGAAAAATAATCACATTTCCAGGGCTGCTACTTTGTCTTCTCTTCACACTGCCTAAACAATAAATGAAGCATTTTTATGGTACAGTACTACCTTTAAAGTAGTTGTAGCTTATTTGTTGGTGTAATAAGACATGTCAGTGATCTTTTGACACAGTACCTGACTGATGGGTTGTGGGCATTGCATCTTTTGGCTCTGTTAAGAATTGGAGTAATTGTCCTTTTAAACAGTGGTGTGTCTTACTGCACGAGCTTGTTATTGGAGGTTGTCTTGGTTTGAGACAATGTTTTCAGAGAGAAATGTTACAGGATAAATGTTTCCTCTGAAGTGAAAAGTTTGATAATTTTTTCTCACCAATATGAAACAGGAGTTTGGGTGAATGTGAAGAAAAAAAYAGTTTATTAACAAAACATGGTGCCCACAGGACACAGATAAATAATAACTGTTGGATATTTAAAAGTCCAGGAATGGATGCCGCTCCCTCCCCCCACAACCTCTTGGTCACATGGTGTGGAGAAAGATGGCGTGGCTCCTGTCCCTGGGAAAAAAGAAACAAAAGTCCACTGGCCGCTCGGGCAACAGTGGAAAAACCTGGAGGCAGTCCTCTCCTCACAATGGATGAAACAGAGGGMTAGGTGCGCTTTTCTCTGGCTGGCTTGGCTTCTCTGGGGTCTGGGATGATACAGAGTGGTGCCCGCTGCTTTTTTTTTTTTTCCCCCTATTGGCGCCTGGCTGGTCGGCACTTGCCTCCTGGTTCTCAGACCACAGCCCTGCCAATCCGCTCCAGAAAATCACAGGAGTCACAGAGGGKGTGGCAGTCTACAGAGAGCTGTTTGCCCAAGCTAACAAACCTGAGCTGTCTAAAAGGTACCAAGGTCACTCTGCTCCGCACAGCGACCTGAGCTCCAAAAGCCCACGGCAGCATAGCTGCCCCAGCTTTTACTGCCCGCACTGCCTTCCCAGCCACCCCTGCACCTTCTTCCAGGTTGCATTTAAAGACACAGACACTTTTTGGGCATACAAGCTGACRGAATACAGGAATACAGGATTGGCGCAAAATCAGCCCATGACAGAGGTTCARTAAAACCTCTCTGGGCCATTAGAAAAAAATGCATTGAAACCTATTTGTGGTCAGCTGTTTCAGAAAGAGTGCTCATCTTGTAATGTGTATGTTACAAGAATGTAAAATCCATTTTTTTTCCCTTGGAAACAGTATTTAAGGCAAATATTTGAGATATTTTTTCCTGAATAAGCTAAAAATATTATGAAGCATCTGTATTTTATGTTTACATCTATTTGGTGTGAATAAAAATCTCAAAAAAAAAATTAGCTACTTCTGCAGTGAAGAAGCTCTCTAATTAGTCTTAAGCCAGCTGGTCACTGCATTTTTGAAGTATTCCTTGAAATTCCTCTCTGAGCCAAGTTTTTATGTTCCAT